GGTTACTATTTGATCTTGGCAATGAAAGAAACAAATAGTTTCAGCTATGTTTCTATTCCAGCTTTTCTGCCTTGTTTTGGATGTGTTCTAGTTTTGAGTGTGGAGAATTTTAAATCGTTAAAAATGAATGGCTCATTGTGGATTTAAAAAGAAGTAGGAAATAACCACTTTCTCTTCCTTTCTTAGGGACTGTATTGAAATTACTTAATTTTGCTTTTTTTGATAAAAATTCAATCTTCCTAGGGCATTTTCATCATTAGATGCTCTCAGCATTAATTTCCTGTCATTTTAAATACCAGGCTATTGCTTGCTAGTCTTGAAAAGAAAATAATCTTTTCAGTGGTGATAACTGAGCATAAGGAATATATGATTCAATATTTTCCATGTTTCATGGGGGAAAAAATGAGTTGAGCGCCACGTAATTCAAATCTTCTTATCAGTTAGACTTAGTTCAATTTCAGAGGATATATATGAGAGATTATATGAATGAAAAAATCCGAGATGACGTGACTTATATGTGATTTTTCAGATTGGTTAGTTGTAACAGAGATATAGGAAGCAGAAAGATGCAAATAGGTATACAGCAGAGAAATATTTGAATGAATTTGGTGAGTGCAGTAATTTTTTTTTAATAAATAAAAAGAATATCATGGTCACAATTTATTTATGTCAGCCTGAATTCATATCTCCTGCTAGGTGACCAAATGAAGGCTTGAAGTTAGGAGTGTTTTTTTTCTATAATCAGTGCAGATTATCAGATTCCTCTAGAGGTGTGATTCAGTCCATCCTTGTGGGCTGAATCCCTTATTCCTCATCCCTCTTATTCAATGTTTATTGATCTTATAAGATCAAGCCTCCCTGGGCTTCTGTCTGTGCTGAATATACCCATCTCTCTCCATCTGTTCTCATGTGTGAGATGCTCCAGTCCCTTAATTGCCTTTGTGGACGTTTGCTGCACTCACTCCAGCAGGTTCAGGCCTCTCATCTACTGGGGAGCCCCAAACTGGACACAGCACTCCAGTAGTGTCCTAACCAGTGCTGAGTGGAGGAGAAGAATCATCTCCCTCAACCTGGAAACGTCTTCCTAAAGCAGCTTAGCATACTGACACATATTGTCATGGAGAAAGTGAAATCCTGAACCTCCTCAAGGGAAGAGTAAAACTCTTGTTTTCAGTGGTTCTGGGATATTCCTGACTGAGGTAGTCTGTAAACTGGGTACAGGTAGAGAAATTAAAGGGGTCAGACTCAGTGACTGCTCCAAACCAAAGCCATAAAAACCTCTCTTGCTTGGTGCTAATGCAACAGAGGCAAAGCACAGAGCTGCACTGTAGAGTTGTGGAAGGGACAGGTTCACCACCGTGAACCTCTCTGTGCCAGAGGCCAAAATCAAAGAGTGTCAGTGTAAACTGTACCCTTGAGAGCAAGACACACAATATATTCTAGTTAAGTAAAGAGGATCCAATGCGAAACTGAGGCTTTGGGCTTTGTCCAAATGTGAGCAGTAAGAGTGGAAAAAAGTATGCCTGATTTTGGAGGGAAATGAACAACAGCAGGATCCAGAAAAAAAAAGGAATTTATCATTATAACCACATTGCAACTTTTTTTGTTTCATAACTGGGACAGAGTTTGAATGAATACTGTGAACTTTTCAGTCTTTGCCAATAAATTGTAGATTTGGACCTCAGGAATGTGAGTTTATTTAACTTAATTTTTAGCCAAACTCTTACTGGGATATTGGCTGGTAGAACATGTGTTACCTCCTGGAAAAAATGAAAGGGATGATCACATATTTTTGAAAGCATTGGAAATTAAACAGGTTAATATTTAATTGCCTTTAGCTGCATTCTAGTCCCATGTATAGATGCAGATTTTTTTTTTCCTAGGTGTATTGCAAAATAGACCCTCTGGAGTTCTCCACTTCAGCTTGCATAAGGTCTATAGCTAACAGTAACTAAATCTAGTGGTTGTTTAGGAGTGGAGTCTGGTACAAAGTTCACCTGCAAAAACTGCTAAAAATATAGTAGTTAAACAAAACTTAAAATGTTTATGGATTTATAGCATTTAGGATTCATTTGCATTTTTTTATTTTTACTTTCTCACAACAGACTCTCCCGAGGTGAGTGGAAATGCAGGCCTTTTGGATCAACTGGCAGCTCTGAAGTGGGTGCAGCAGAACATTGCTAGTTTTGGAGGAGATCCTGGACAGGTTTCTTTAGGAGCTGACCGCAGTGGGGCAGACATCACAAGCGTTCACCTGCTCACTGAGACAGCAGATACGGATCTCTTCAAGAGGATATTATTGATGGTAGGTCCCATTCCTTTGGTTTTGCTTGTCAATAGAAGATATTAATTAAAGGATGTTTCAGAATTAAGGGTTGTGGGTGCTGGCTTTACTTCCTCCACTAATGTGATTGCTGCTGCTGTAGTTATTTTCAACACACCTGAGATGGTTACTTTCTGGAGGTAGGTGTTTCAGAAGGATGTAGGACAAATCCACTTCCGTCACTGAATTAATCATACTAAGAATCCATTTTTCATCACTGTGGTTTCTCGTGTGTTATATAAATAGCCTTGTTTCATAACTTGTAGGTACAACAGGTTAGTTTCCGTTGCAGAAATGTGTTTGTTGATCAGTGGTTTTTAGACTCTAGAACTGATGAGCCAAACATCCTCCTGTTTGAAGTATCCACTCTTTTTATCTGATCTCATGACAGATGCTCACTCTCATTTAAAGAAAAAACAATATTCAGAGAGTCAGGAGTTCAATTACCAAAGGCTTCTTTGCTGTCTACTTGGACCCTTTCACATATTCCTTTTCTTACAATCCTGCCCATGGATCATTGAATCTGAGGGCTTTTAGATCAGCTGTTTGTCCATGAAGTGAGGCTTAAACTTCAGGGGAGGATTTTGTGTCCTGCAGAAATTGTGCTTGGGCAGAATGATCTCTCCTGCTGACAGCATTTACTTGCGAATGCGAGCAATGGAAAGAAATACAGGGCCCAGTTAAATAAAATCTTGACTTGAAAATAATTATGGGTCCATTGACTGTTCGACTTCTCTTCAGTGTGTCCTTGCTCCAGGAAATATATCTTGCCTTTTTCATCTCCATCTCTTGATAAAGTTATTTTAATCTCATTACACCTAATGAGAAAGGCAAGGGAGTTCGTTGAAAATTACTGCTAAAGAGGGTTTTTTTTTTTTTGTATTTTAGTAGTGTCATTTTCAGTCAAATCCCCTCTCAATTTCCAGAGTTTTACCCAGCTCTTGGGATAGTAGTTAATCTGCTCTGAGTACAGTTCTATATTTTTATCATATTTTTATCTCAAGTTAAATATCCTTCCTTTTAAATAAGATTTGACCTCCTCTTGCCCCCGGCAGCTGGATGTAGAATTGTGGAAAATGGTGGCAAGTGCAATGAGCAGGCAGGTGCGTCAATTCTTCTCACTAATTTGATGTTTGTAACAATAATTTTCTTCCTTAGAGGCAGTGCAGAGTACTGTCTCAGGAAAAGCAGGACCCTCATTTTTTTCAAAGTAATATTAAGAATTTATACAAACGGTGTCATGCTGGATACTGGTTCTTTTATGACATACTCTGGAAAAATTAAAAGTAATCAGTAATAGCAGTGGCTCAAAAAGAAACCCAATTTCTTTTTTTTGGAGGATACTTTTTGTTTGGTTGTTTTTTTTGTTGTAATTCAGTATTCTCAGGCCTACTCCAACTTTACAGGTAGACATCCTGTAAAGGAGCATTGCTTATTTTCATTCCAAGATCATAATTGTCATCAGTATTCTCAATTTTACTGTAAAGAAAAAAGAGTTGCATCACAAAGTTGCCTGAAATTTAGAATCTAAAAAAGATACACCTTTCCTAAATGAAAATCCAGCGAAACAATATAGCTTTGCTGCAATGGTTAATTTTGTGTTCGTTGTTTGAGTCTTTGCCTCATACCAAAAAAACAAAAGATGGGATTGTCTCTTTACCTGCAGAGATGTGTGATTTATGGAGCTTGCCTATGAGGAGAGGTATGCCTAAAATAACAAAATACCTTTGAGTTCCTTTATCTGCTCTGCAACAGATTCTGTTTTGAACTGATTTGAAAACAGATTTTACTAAGTCAAAGCAAAACTATGATAGGGAACTTTTTCATAGCTTATTTCTTATTTCCTTCATGTGACAGAAGTGAATTCAGCTCAAAAAATATAATTCTGTTTTAAATCCAGTAAATAGCATCAGTATAGCAACTGACTTCATCTTTTGATTGACTTATATACCAATACAACCGTGATATAGATGGAGACTGTTGACTGACTATGGGACTTAAGCATTGGGAAAAATCCACCATTTCTCAAAATGGGACATAGGCAGCTGACTCAGGGTTCAGGTATTATTTCATAAAGTGTCCAATTAAAAGTTCTTAGCCTTTTTTGAACTCTTTATTTGGATCCGATGGACCTGATGGATAATTTTGGTTAGATATTAGGAGAAAAAACTTTCTGGTGGCAAAGGGAATGATTAGTGGAATGGGTTGCCTCTGTTGCAGGAAGCCAAGGAGGCAGGGTGCATTGGATATGAGGCCTTCCCTGTCAGT